GGAAATGTTTTTCAGTTCGACCAGGATTTTCTGGAAAGTTGCTCGTTCAGTACCTCCCGGTAAGGCGAAAAACACACGGTCGTTTGTTCGATTTTCCACCTTATTTTCATACGAATACGGTTTATGTCAAATGGTTTGACAGAGGCATCCCTTGACGCAGTGTTGTGTGATGCCTTTTGACATAAACCGTATTCGCATTAAGGTAGGGCGGAGAATCGAATGAATGACGCACGAATGGACCCACACAATGCGTGTATCTGATATTAATCTGTAAATCTTGATATCTCCTGAAAAAAGGTCAATTAATTTCAAAATAACATTGAATCAAATAAAAGTAAATAACTTAACCCTGTACTTTTCAATAACCACAGTTCAAAGTCAGCTCGTGCAATCCTCGTATAAGCTTATACCCACATTCGCGTACAATGGAGCTTAGAGCGAACACTCATATCAAACCGTTGTAGACCCCCAATTTAGTTCAGTAGTGAGCCGGATGGAGTTTTGGGTATCCGTTACATGCAAGCGAAAGCTTATGCATAGTGGTGGTGCCACTGCTTACGACGCAGAAGGCTCCGGGTTCGATTCTCGTTTGGTAATTTACAAAGATATTTATCACTTTGGGAAATTATTCTAAGTCTTGTTTGGACATTGCAGGCCGAATCATCTGATTTTCCGAAAAAAAAGAAAAGTTCCGTGCTTCAGAGGGCACGTTAAGCCGTCGGTCCCGGTTGCTGTATATTATTACTTAGGCAGCGGTCGTTGCACAACCATGTCAGAGCGCTGGTGCTTGTAGTAGGTGGTTGCAAAACTCTGACACCAGAGAAACCACTCACAAAGAAAGAGGAAAGCTCATGTTGAAGCAAAAGCTTAGGTATGTTGAAGTATGTGGCGATGGCTAAATTTGTAGCTCATCGCATGGGATAATTTTGATCTCAGTTTTAGTTAATGAACTTACCAGCGGAGACCTTAGATGTTTCTCACTCACACCCTTTGATTAATTTAATTTTTAATTTTTCAGTTTTAGTGACCTAGAATAGCATTACCCCATTTCTTTCCTTTGACTTTCTTAAGAGGCGACTAAGGGGTACTAGTACTAGGGTTTCATGTGCATTACAACGACTACGGAAATATGAATTAGCGTAAGGGACATTTTGGCGATTTTGAGTTATATATATCATTGGATTCAGAATTTCGAGCTCTATCGAATGGTATATATAACTTTTTGATATCTTGAAAAAAATGTCGCTTACCTTAAAAAAAAGTGAGCAAAAGTTTAAAAATCGGGAGAAAAAAGTACTGTTAAGGACATAAAAAATGGTGAACGTCCCATACGTTAAATTTTTCATCATATCGGCCAATTGATGTTCCTTACACTATTACAAATACAAGTTTTTATGTCCGATAATGCATCTTACATTAATTTCCAAAATAAACATTGGCCCTTACGCAGGCAAACAAACTTTAATAATGAGGTAGGAAACCAAAATAACATTACACTATTATCTTACACTGCCCAAATCAAATTCCTCTCATAATTTTTTTTATGATACTTCAGAATATCTGTGTGAGCACCTATTTTGTATGATATTTAAATCGACCAAGAAAATAGAAATTGATGTATGGGACAAAGTAACAAATTTTTTGGAAAGAAGTTAAAGTAACATACATGACATTATCAAATGTTTTGAAAAATGTTAATTTAACGTACATTTCTTGACAAAAAATGAGGTAACATTGCAGCAAAAGACATAGTTTTTTCAAAGTTTTGAGACTATTTAATTATTAAAATATACTTGTACTTTATTTTACCTTTTTTTTTCAATGCAAATTTAAAAAGACACGTGTCATGTCAATTAAATGAACATAAACAACAAAATGAATGGTTAGTAACACAAAAACCATGCTATCTCATTTTTATTGCATTCATTCTAAATTTTAAATTTTCATTGATTTTGTATGAAATTCCATACAAAATCAATTTCAAAAAATTTAAAATTTCTGACCGTTACTATAATGAACACAAATTAAATATTATCCGCCAGAAGAAAACGCACAAATCTTTACGCCGCTTACAGGCAAACCGCTAAAATTTAGTGTAGTATCAGAATTAGTGTTCGATGACCATTGCAAAATTGCTTGTTGAATACGGTGTCACTATGTTTGGGTGACTAAAAACATGTTCATATTGTGATATTAATATTTTTAAATATTAAGGATTATAATTGAAAAGTATGTTAATAACAATACTATATTGCGCAAAACACAAAGATATAGTTTTTTTTAGAATTTGTCGTTTTGTTCGTCAAAATGTTTTTTTTTTATTACAAAAACATTATAAATTATTAGAATACTTTAAAAATTAATACATAAATTGGCGTGATGAGAAGCTGAAATAGTATACTCAACTCATTATATTATGACACGATCGAGCAAATCGGAGATCAAGGAGCAAGGTACTGAAAATGAGTCATCTAAATTCTTCAAATGGTAAAACCGTCACCTCAGGTCGAGAGATTCTTGCTGTAGTCGAGGATTTCTATGAAAGTCTCATGCGTCGCATGCACCCAGACCTCTTTCTGACGAGAGAGACTCCATTGTTCTCTTCCACCACCTTACTCTTAGACAGCTTAAGAATACAAAGGCTTCAGGGAAGAGTGGGCCCTATGCTGCTTAAGGCTGGTGTCATGAAATGGCTGTTCAACTTGGTAATAACTAGTGGCAAAACCTCAGAGGCGTGGTTACTCCACTCCACGAAAAGAGACGAAACGTTTCTCAGTAAGAAACGTTCCCCGGAAACTATAAGGTCGATTTTACTTTTGGACCACGTCTATAAGCTGTTCTCGAGAGTAGTCACCAATCGTTTTAATAAAAAATTACAACTTCATGTTTTGTGCGTCCATTGTTTTTATTAACTTACTATAATTTTGTTTTATTAACAAAAAATTCAACGTAGTTTAAATTTTGAAGATGTATTTTACGGTCAAAGATTAAATAAAAAGTTCCTGTTTGTTTTTTTTTTGCTAAAAACGTTATTTTTTATCGTTTTAAAAGTTTTCTAACGCTTTTTATTCTTATGTTTCTCACAATAAAGTATTGATTATGAAATTGAACCACATTAGAAGATGTTTATGTTGTTTGTTATACTACATCGTGTCAGAGACGCATTTCTAAGTGTATTTCATTTGAAAACAATTGGTTATAATAAAGTTTTGTGGCAAACTTATCATGAAAACCTATAGACACGGTGTCCTTCACTGCAAATTTACCTCGTGTTCGATGATGAAATGTACGTTACATTAATTTTTTTCAAAATTTTCGGAGGTATTTGCAGGAAAAATTAACGTAAGGGACATGCCAATTCCTAAACTACAGAGATATTCCAGATGATGATAGATTTAGCATAAAGAACTCAAAATTCTAAGGAATTTTGCCATAGAAGTCATTTGGATCGGACAAGAAACAAAAAAGATATAAAGAATTTTAAAAAATTGCAATCGTTTTTTGGCTCTCCTGAAAAATTGCATTTTGTCCCTTACGCTAATTCATATTTCCGTAGTCGACAATTTCAGGCGACAGGCTGACTATCTGTCACTTTAATGATAGGTACATGATATTTTTTCTGTAACAGGTCTCAAATTTTTAGTACGTACCTAATTGTCAGAAACGACGATAGCGCCAGCATTTTTACGGTCGCTAATACTCTATCTACCCCGCAAGGTATATGTGTACGTGTGTCTTTAGAAGCGACAGGAGTTATATAAAATCGGTTATTAACTCTGCATATCATAAAATTGCTCACACCGCCGCATCGTTTTGCGGCTGCAGCCAGCAGGTTGTCATAGTCTGTCAAAAAACCGCAAAGTCATGGCACCGTGTGAGAAGATGGCTAACTAGAGTAATTTTGACCTCCGCTTACATCTGAAAACACCTGCAGAAGTTTACAAGTTGAATTAATTATTCGGGAATATGACTGAATTGTGACACTTGAGCAAAAAACCTTTGATGTATTTATTTCATACGAGTCGAAACCACAAATTAGGGGAACGGCGCGCGGGGCGCCTATACAGATGGCTCACTCAGTACTAGCGACGATTTTGACGCTTACCTATCTACTGTCTTTTTCTGGAAATAAGTTCGAAATTCAAATTGCCCTAACGCATGCATTACGTAGCGCAAAAATAACACACAAACGGATTTCTCGCTTTAGCTTCAGATATTGTTGCGGATGAATAATTGCATTTAGGTAAGCCTGTCGTCTATTCATAGGGTCCACAAATGATATTCGGAAACTGGTTTGTTTGCGAACCGTTTAGAATCTGTAGAGAATCTGGTCAGCTCTGACCGAGAGAATTGATTTGTTTTTATGATTTCTTTAGTCTCTCTCTTCGTGTAGGACACCGAGTCGTTCAAGTCCTTAGTGAAGTAAATTCTTTAAAGCTTTTCATCTCCAACTTTATAATATACGAAGGATGGCTGGAAAATGTGATTTGGTATTGCACAAGGACAACAAATAGGCCGAAATGACCTGTAGACACGAAGAAAAGCTCTGTCATACCGTCGAATCTAATTCCTCCCTAAACCATCCACGAACTGCCCCCATACTGACATTTTAATCAGTAGAAGTGCAGGTAAATTATCTACCTGAAAATCAAAATCTACGAAATCAACATTATCAGCCACAACATGTGCCACCCCCAGTGGGGGTTAGGCCCTATTGGGGGGTCAAATCTATGAATTATAACGACCTATTTCCGGGAACCACAAAATCATTACTCAAATATGAAATCATTACTCCTTTGATGCAGGGATGCATCACGCGCTGCGCCGCCCTGCTCAATCAAACGCCAGCTTGTAATAGGTTTATACCGGGTATTTGGGATTTAAAAGCAATCACAGTGCCAGGTAAAAAGTTGTAATTACTTTCTACGAGACGTCGCTAGACCGTCGCTTCGAGACGAGCATCAAGAGGTTGAAAATTTCGTCAGCCACGGCCAGGCGCCGCGGGTAGCTCAGTTGGCTGAGCAGTGGGATGGTACCCCACGATCTCGGGTTCAATTCCCGGCCGACGCTAACATATTTCATTTTCTTATTTTCATTTATAGCGGGTGTAAAAGATAATGAACCAAAATTTTGGAGGCAGTAGCCGTTGATGGATAAAGCGATTTTTTTCTGACCTCACATACAAAAATCTCGATCACCTGACTAACTTTGGAAATCATTTATTTATTTTTTGTCGTTTATCAACACTATGATTTATGGGGAAACAAGACTCTACACCTTTAATTCAGAGGTGCTATATTTGGCAAATCGTTAACAGAACTGTAACACCTGTGCTATATGCGTTAGACCTTTCACCCTGTCCACTACAATACCTATCGAGTTCAAAATCTCCAAACAATATTGTAGCAACCTATTACTACGAACGAGAAAATACTTATATATATTTAACTGTGATTCAGGGGTGCCACATGCGGAAAATCGTTACTGAAAATCATACGTTGGGCCTTTCATCCTGTTCGTCCGCCACAGTGCCTATCGATTTCGACATCTACAAAACAATATTCTAGTTACCTCTATTTCCCGCAAAAGAGAAAATAATTACCTACCTACTGAAAGCGCTTGCAGCACCTTTGATTCAGGATTGTTAAATGCGGAAAAATATCATTACCAAAACTGCAACGCTAGACAATAAGGTGACACGCGTTGATTCTTCTATGACGGCAACGAATGGCCTAAAAATATCTATCGAACTTAAAATCTAGAAATACGGGGTGTAAGGGGCAGTTCTTCGAATACTGATAGGGTGCATGCAGGCAGACCTTGAAAATGATCAACTTATTCCTATAAATGTTAGGTATGTGAAAAATGTCAAAAATATTTCGACCTCCCTCAAAATCTGTCTTAAAACCAATTTCCTGAAAAATTATATGTGGGAAGTCGTCAGTTCCATGGTCTGAATGCACTCTATCAGTACTCGGAGAGTTGTCCTTTACACCCTGTATATTCCAGCTCCCTGTTTCTATGAACCAGAAAATAATTACTGCAACACCTTTGAATCAGGTTGCAACGTGCGTTAAGCCTTTCACCCCGAACGTCCGGCGCCATTCAGTGCCGGGCAAACCGTCCGCACCTCCAAATAATGAGCTTACTTTTACAGTCACAACAGTCCACTGCTAGACATTTGCCATACTCACCATGCTGGACAGGTGGATTGGCGAGCGCAATCGAAAGTGTTGTGTTCACAGATTCATTCACTTACGACGCCCACACGGCTAAAAAAGGGGTAACGCTATTCTAAGACGGCAACAGATGGCCTAAAAATATCTATCGAACTTAAAATTTATGAAATACGGGGTGTAAGGAACAGTTCTTTGAAGACTGATAGGGTACATGCAGACCAGAAACTGCATGTACCCTATTCCCCTAGAAACATTAGGTATGTGAGGAATGGCAAAAATATTTTGACCTCCCACAAAATCTCTCTAAAATAAATATTCTGAGAAATTGGTATGGGAAGTCGTCAGTTCCTTGGTCTGAATGCACTCTATCAGTACTCGGGGAGTTGTCCTTAACACCCTGTATATTCCAGCTCCCTGTTTCTATGAACCAGAAAATAATTACTGCAACACCTTTGAATCGGGTTGCAACATGCGTTAAGCCTTTCACCCCGAACGTCCGGCGCCATTCAGTGCCAGTCAAACCGTCCGCACCTCCAAATAATGAGCTTTACATCCACTACAGATACTATTCTAAGCCGGCAATATACTGCAAAAAATTACATCCCTTTACCATCTAAATAATGAGCTTAGATACTAGCCACAACAGATGCTATTCTATACCACCAATACACTGCAAAAAATGACATAAATTTATCATCCAAATAATGAGCTTACCAGCCACAACAAATACTAATTCTAAGTCGGCAATACACTGCAAAAAATAACATACAGACATACATATAGGTATATATCACGCCAATATCCCTTGCGAGTTAGACAGAGCGTAAACGGCTGTAAAAACGGCTATTTACACCACGTCTGCCAAAAGTTTGAGAGTCATTTAGAAGACTGTGTATCAACATAGTGACCGGTTGTCAGCCTGTCGCCTAACAGTGCAAATTACTTAAAAATCAACTCTCAAATCCCTTAGTCGTTTTTTACGTCTATTCCTATTCTAAGCCGGCACCACACTATGCCAGTTTAGTTTTGTTTCTATGAATTAGTAATTAATAATGACCTTTGTTTTGGGCTGATGCAACATGCGCAAAATCATTATCGAACTGAATGCAACCTGCGTTGGGATTTTCACCCCGATCGTGCGCCGCCATTCGGTGTCCGTCAAAACGTCCGCACCTCCAAATAACGAGCTTACTTCATAGGCGAGTAACACTTGTAAAGTCCATTTATGCGTTGAATTTTACGCATTGTACCTATGTATTAGACAAATGCCTAAAATAAATGCAATTTTTCGCCTCATTTTCATACAAATACAGTTTATGTCAAAGGACGCATCTGCTCAACGCTGAGGGTTGAGATTCGTATTGTGCATTACATCAGCGCTAAAATAAGCACAAACGGACGTTGCATGTGTTCTCCGCCTAAAAAAGATAATACCACCTATCGAGCTCGAAATCTAGGTACTAAACATAGACATTCTAGCGTCCTGTTTTAACCAAAATAATTACAATAACACTTTTGTTACATTTAATTGAATAGGGGTATTTATTAAGTGGATGGTACAAAAGGAAATTAAGCTAACTTAACTATATATACACTAACCTAGCAGCTCATGCCTGTTCGGACCTGGTCCAAAAGTACCCATTACGCTACACTTTTGTTTGGAATGCATCATGAGAAAAATCATTACCGAAACTGAATGCAAAACCTAAATGCAACATGCGTTGGGATTTTCACCCCGATCGTGCGCCGCCATTCGGTGTCCGTCAAAACGTCCGCACCTCCAAATAACGAGCTTACTTCATAGTTAGACGAGGAACACAAGTATCTAACGTCCGTTTGTGCTGTACTTTTGCAATACAAATACTGTTTATGTCAAACCGTTTCACTTGAATCGTATTTGTAAGAAAATGAGCCGGAAAATCACATTAGCAGCATTGGCGCATGCGATAGCGTTGCGCAAAAATAACGCACAAACGGACTTTGCGTGTGTTTCTTGCCTTAAAACTGAGATTACTGTGCGTTTAGCGGTTTTGGGCTATCTTTTCATACAGACACACCTACATAAATCACGCTTTTATTCTTTGATGTTTAGGCAGAGCGCTGACGGCAAAAAATGCGGTCATTATAGCTGTGTATATCAAATATTTGAAAGTCGTTACAAAAAAATCTTTTACTGCTTTTTAAAATCGATTATTATGTTATGTATGATACACATGAAGCACACGAGTCCTAGAAGAAATGGGGTGATGCTATTCTAACTTCAGTTCAGTCAGCAGAGTTATCTTTCCTTAACCTTACCTATCGACTTGGTTTTTAAACTTACATGTAATTCTTTCAAAGTAGGTAGGTTCTTTTAATTTAGCTATGTTCCTTCGACCTAAGGCCCTCTCCGCACAGCGAATTTTTTTTCGCGTACCTACCGCGATTTTTCTCGCACTATATTTTAGTTCGTATAAAAAAAAAAACAAGTTATACAGGGAGTAACAGAAAGAGAGTCAAGATACTCATGAAACTGAACCACTTTCACCATGGAACATGGGTCAAAATATGAAAAAAAATTGGTCCTCCCATACAAAATCGCCGATCAGCTAATTGATTTACTACGGGAGGTCCAATTTTTTTTTTATATTTCGTCCCATGTTCCATGGGGAAAGTTGTTCAGTTTCATGAGTACCTTGACCTCCATTCGGCTTGTTTATACCCTTTCCGTTACTCCCGGTATATATTTTTCGTCAGTGTGAAAACTTGCATAAGATTCAGTGTGCGTAAAATCGCTGTGTGGGTAGAGCCTAAATGGTTATTTTATGGGTAAGAAGTAAGAAATATTAATAGTTGGTGGCGATTAGCTATAGAAATGAAAATTCGCAATTATTGTGACTGACTGTGACTAATGTAATTAAAAAATTCATCAACTGCAATTCACTACATGTTTTGTCGTTTATAATTTTATAATTATTTATTACTTAACTGCTATTAAAATACTTTACCTACAGAAATGACTCTTGGTTGCTACGGGGAAGTTTGAAGTTGTTTGTATGCAGAAAATGAGTAGGTATGTAATTATGATATTTAAAAAACACAGTTATCTTTAATCCATGAAATATTGAGATAGAGATTCAAATATAAGTACATAACATTAAAATATTATGGGGTTCTATTCAATTCAGTGCAAATATTATCAGGGTGCGTTCTACACGTGAAACTGTGCAACTTTTCCCGTTTTTGTAAATTTTCACACTTTTTCTTCCTCGAGTGGGACACCAAGTCCGACCTGATGAATCCCGGTGTCAGAGTTTTTCAACCGCCTCCTGCAAGTAGCAGGCCTCTGACATAGTTGTGTAACGACCACCGTATTAGTGATCATAGACAGCAACCGGGACCGACGGCTTGTGACCTTCGAATCGCAGAATTTTTACACTGAATTAAGGTACTAAGATATAACAGAATTTTAAAAATAATACCAGTAAACATGTATGTAGGTACACAAGTATATTGTTCAAACGCCAGTATGATAGTGGATCCACTGTCGTACGCTCGCATCGGTGACATTAGTGTAGACCCCGGGAATGCCTCGTCCACAGCCGTAACCGAACGAGGATATGCCGGCTAGCGAGCCGTCACACACCGCCGCGCCACCGCTGTCACCCTGCAACATTCATCATCATCATCATCATCATCAGCCACAGCCACAGCCGTAACCGAACGAGGATATGCCGGCTAGCGAGCCGTCACACACCGCCGCGCCACCGCTGTCACCCTGCAACATTCATCATCATCATCATCATCATCAGCCACAGCCACAGCCGTAACCGAACGAGGATATGCCGGCTAGCGAGCCGTCACACACCGCCGCGCCACCGCTGTCACCCTGCAACATTCATCATCATCATC